TTATTTAACACAAGAAATTATTAATTTCAGCACGCTATATATATATTTATACATCACAATATAATATATAATGTGGACAATATATGTTTTTATTTGATTCAATATTATGTTATGCTGTATAAAAATATGCGTTAGTTTGTCTTATATATACGTGCTGACTAGTCGCCATGTTCATATTTATGTTCTGTACCTAAATTTGATTCTTCACTAATAACTTTTTAAACAAAAGGCACAAAAAGCATTAAGAAATTTAATTAAATGGGATTGAATCCAAGGCTTATACTATCTCCTTTATCTAATAACTTTTGTGCTCAAATATGAGGTAGGTACATGTTTTGATAATAAGTAATAATTAATATATATATATATTTTACTTTTTATAGAAAAAAAAAATACAAATACAACAATTTTTACTATAAAGATAAACCATTAACACTTTTTATAATAATCTAAAAAAGAGTTAACATAAATTTGAATGCAAAGTGATAAGCATTATGCCAGCACAGCACGAATACAATAATCTAAAAATTGTATATATATATATATATATAAATTCTAGTGAGAGTTTTGATTTGGCAAGGCTCCAATTTTTATATTTTTCCTAAGATTTATATCCCTTCAATACATATGCATATCAAATCTATATTGAATTAAGGGTAAAGTGTAGTCCCGTAACTGATCCCCTTATTATTTTAGTCACGTAAGTGAAGCATGTCGCAAACTAGTCCAATAGGTGAAAAATTTTCATGATTTTAGTCCTCCGGCGCGGGAGATGCCTGTGTGGCTCGTCGGAAGCCACGTGCCCGCCAGGTGTCCCTCCAGGTGAGCGACACTTGACGGACACGTGGATTATTATTTATTTATTTATTTTTAATTTTTAATTTTTTTTAATTGGACCAAATAAAAAAATATAAAAAAACAAATAAAATTAAAAATAAATTAAAAATAATTTTTTTAAAAAAAATAAAAAATAAAATCCACATGTCCGCCAGAGGTGGCGGACACGTGGCCTCCAGCGAGCCACGCGAGCGTCTCCGGCGCCGGAAGACTAAAACAACGAAAATTTTTCACTTATGAAACTAGTTTGCGATAGGTTCTACTTACGAGACTAAAATGATAAGGGGTCCAGTTACTAAACTAAAAAACAGTTTACCCTTGAATTAATATTGTGCCATTGTTCAATTCATATAAAAAATGTCAAAATCGATTAAAAATATATACATTTATATATGTATGTATTTTCACACGAGGAACCTGCAAAATATTAAACAAGTTATGGTTGTTTGTTAATTTATTTATTTTTTAATTAAATTATGGTGATCGACAAGATGGGCTTCACATGTATTTGAAAATTCATAAGTTGACTGTAAAATAATTAAGTATTAAATACATACATACCATGATTTATAATCAATATTTGCACTAATTTCATGGTATTGATTACAGAAAGATTACATTAAATATATATAGGCAAACTATTTTTTTAGTCTCGTATTTAACCACTTTTATCATTTTGAAATTTTAAATGAACCCTGTCTGAAAATAGTCAGTAAAAAAATTTCACTAAAATGGACCTCCAGTGCCGGAGTCGCCATGCTGGTCTGCCGTTGCTGATATGGCGTTGACGCGGCTGACATGTCATTGCCACTTAGATGCCACGTCAGCGACATATAGAATTTTTTTTTTATTTAAAAAAATGTCTTGATAAACTATTTTTTTAGTCTCGTATATAACCTCATTTATCAATTTTAGGACATTTAAATGGACTTTATCTTAAAATAGTCTTGCATGTAAATTTTTTTTACTAAAATGGTCCTCCGACGTGGCATCTACGTGGCGATGACATATTAGCCACGTCAGCGCCATGTCAGCAACGACTGCCAGCGTAGCGAGTCCGGCACCGGAGGGCAATTTTATCGGAAAAATTTTACTTTCAAAACTATTTTCAAGCAGAGTTCACTTAAAATTTTAAAATGATAAAGAGATCAAATACGAGATTAAAAAAACAATTTACCCAATATATGTAGATGCATGGGTCGAACTCTAACAAGTTAGATCCAAATAATAAGCATAACAATTAAAATACACATGTGGTTAAGCCAGGGCATAATTTGTAAGTGATTTAAAAACTAATCAACTTGTTTACTAATTAAAATTAACACAAAATGCAAAGTCATCTCATAAAAAATGAGTACACTGACTGTTTACTTTGAATGATAGATTTATAAAACATATGATTATTTTAATAAATTATACAGTTATGATTAATTATTTCTAATTATTGTATTATTATATCGGATTTTAATTAATTCTGGATTTAAATATGTTAAAATAATCATATGATTAAGTCTGGTAAAATACTATTATCCATAATAATTTCATATAGTAAACAGACTCTATCATTACTACCAAATTAGACAACTGATACCTACATTTGAGATACCATTGTTATCGGAGGTGAACTTAATACATATATTAAAAAATATGTATGGAATTTTGGATTTATTCAGTTTGTATTTTTTGATAACGTGACTTCCCATGTCTATATTATAAAAATTACTCTCTGTCCCACATATTTTATAATATTTTTTTATTTTTGTCGATTTTACATACCATGCAACATCTCTAAAAAAAAGAAATAATTACCTATATTTTATCTCATCATACAATTCAAACAAAAAGTAAAAATACGGGTTCGTATTTTTAGGCTTCTAATTTGAAGATATTTTTTTGGTTTGAGATATAGATAATTGTGTCGGAAATGTAAAAGATAATATTATGTTGAATGTTAATTTTTGTGAGATGATAAAAAATATATGCTGTGAATTGTATAAAAAAATAAGAAAAAGTTTAACCATACAAACCTGTTCTCTCTCTTATCACATCACATAATTCTCGCTTTATTCACTCACATAATCTTTTTTTATCGGAATTAAAATGTTGTATTTTATTAAATGTGACGAATGGAGTATAATATATATTATCTACTAACACCAAATCAATAATTTTTTAACATAAAATATCATTTTTATATTATCGATACAATTCTCGATACAATAAATATATTAATCCAAAAACACAACTCAATTATCACACTCATAATAAGTTTATTATGAAAATCAATATATCTAAACTCTCAAAGATTCCAAAAATTTATTAAAAAAATAAAACAAACGAGGAGGAAAACTTGCGAAAATTTCAGTCATGAATTTATATGGTTATTTCTCATGAAATGAATGTCCTCAAAATCAACAAACCAACAAATAAAAAGTAGCTAATTTTTTACCTATGGTTCGCCTAATGTGATTTTCCATCGGGCCTAGTTTGCAGAGTATTAGGTTCGACCGGGAGTTTACCTAGTGCGCACTTTCGGATAGCTGCTGCGGATTCCCACGTCGTAAAAAAAAAAAGTAAAGTAGCTTTTACCAGTGTATAATTGATATGTGGGTAAAGATTATCCCTGCTTGAAAAAGTGCCTAACTTTACTTGTGAGATTTTGATTTTTGGTTTGGTTTTGAATAATAAATTGTTGAATTAAAATAGTTATTTGATGTGATATAAATATGTATTGATGTGATATTTTGAATGTAAAATTTAATTTTAGTATAATATAATAAATAAAAAATACGTGTTTAATTTGATATTTTTTTGGGAAAAAAAAGTTGGAATAGTAAAACAAAAAAACTAATCTCACAAGTAAACACACCCGAATCTATGACTTGTACATTTTTCGAACAATATTTAAATTCCATACATCAACCAAAACAACGTAATAACAAACTCTCTTCTTCACTTGGTTAATGAATACCAAATCTATAATAGCTTCAAAACTTAAATATCAAATCAATTTTATTTATTCCAAAATTCAATAAATATGTGGGGTTTGTTTCTTTTTCAAAAATTTTCGAACATATTTTTTTTAAAAAAATTAATATACTATACACATTCATTATTTTTATATTATTTATATAATTGTTTATACTTTACATCAATTTTTTTTTTTTTTCAAACTACAATACAGAACAAACACAGCCATGGTTCGGCCAAAACGACCTACATCAATGAGCAAAACAACAAAAGCCACAAATAATATTTTTGGTATATTGTTATAGCAAACCCAAAGTTATTCATTTATAGGAAAAATCTTAAGGTTATTTTTGTTTGACAAGCAATGTGGAACAAAAGGGATTTTCTTTCCAAAAACAATGTGAAAAAAGACAACATAACAATCTTTACCTATCCAAACTCAACAAAATAGTGAACTACTTGCTCTATCTTTTCATAGATGTCCGGTTGGGCCAAATCATCAATACTGAATTTCGATCCAAGCAAAATTCTCTTAGCGTATCAATTTTATGAAGACAAACATTTTTTTTCGGCAATGATATCGCGAAGAAAGTAAGGTTGTGTTTTTTTTTTTTTATGGATTTTACCGCAAGTTTTTACTATTCAGATATCACACATTTCTTTTTATATTATACTGTAAATTTATTTTATATTTAAAATATCACGTCAACTTTCATTTATATCACATCAAACATCTATTCAAATTTAACTTTTTACTATTAAAAAATCTAAACTAAAAAACTAAAACCTATAAACAAACACACCCATAATTATTGTCGTTGTATCTTGAAATAAATTGATTCACACTATTTATTAATATTTTTTTAAAAATATATTAAATCTATTTTTCATTCTCCGCGCTAAGATACTACTTTTTATTTTTATGGGTTCCAAAAGAGATACTTTTAAAATATCTACGTCCAAAGTAAATGTTACTTTTCTTACGAAATAGTATTAAAATTTTAAATTATTAAATAAAATATTAATTTTATATTTGAATATTGTTTTCAAATCAATAAAGAAAATTCCAAAATCATTTCAAACATTGGAAAGAGAAGAACCAGTGTCGACTTGGGTCCTTGAATTTTCTTGCAAAGCCCAAACCAAAGTCAAGAAACCATAGCCCAGTTCATCAAAGACAAAGAAAGCGGAAATTCGAAACGCACAACGAGGAAACCCAAAGCCCTCTCTCTCCTACTCTCTCTCACTCTCCCCGACCATCTCTGCTCTCTCCATCCCTCCTGAAACCTATCCACTAATCCTTGCATCGCCGGAAAGGACACCATTGCTTCAAATTGACGGCATTAAAGAGGACACGGTCTTCTTCTCTTACCTTGGACAGAGAAAACCGATTCGATTGGGAGCTGCCGATTGCACCGCTGCCAATACCTTCACTGCCGCTTTTAGTTTTTGCTTGAGACACCTTACAGGTATGCCTAACCCTCGATAAATTCCATTTGAAACGAGTAAATTTATTTTGGGATAACCTAAGCTGTTGCGGTAATTGATTAGGTTGCGTGTTTACCAGTGTGGATGGGGTATGGCGCATGCTTTGTATTATTTGTTGCAAGAATTCTTTAGAGTTTTGGCTGTTAGGGTTATTCTGATTGTAGGTCTGGTGTGATCTCTGTAAGGAAATTGTTAGATGTATGAATTGTACGAATCTGAAAATGAAATTTTAGAGTTTCAAGGGTTGAATGATTAGGGTATCGGATGGATTTTAGAAGGGGTTTGGGGCTGAATTTAATCTAAGCTGAAGATTTAATTGAACAGGAAATTCGCAAAATGCAGCAGCCAGGGACGATGTTCTCGGTCTTATCGCCATTTCCCCCTACAAATATTACCACCGAACAGATTCAGAAGGTATGTTTGTTTTTTGGCAAGTATGCTGTTGTGTTGAATTTAAGTTGTTGATTCTATGAACTTTTTTGTGATTGTTTGGTATATTGTTTTGTTCGCTTCGATATAAATGTTTCACCGGCGCTCACGGATGGTAGATAGCCAAAACCAGTAGTCTTGGTTTTGGGGTTTGTAATAAATCCCCCAATCATAGAGAATTAAGAATGTGTACGGTGTGTACGGAGAATCAAGGTCGTGTACGGAGATACAAATCTAGGGAAATGCATCATTCTACTATTTTGAAAATGGACAGTATGCTATATTCATATTTATTTGTTTTTTAGGCTGCCTTTTTCATCATGCAAAGTTGATACTCATTCACAACCAAAACCTATTGAAGTGGGACATTGGTTGTCACTGCGAGGGCGTGCCGCGCACCTTCCATGAGGGTTTGCGCCATAGTAATGGTGGAAATGTAAACTTGTTTTTCATAAATTGCCTATATGGTTCTTTTATTTCTTACAGTTATATGTATTTGTGTAAAATATAAACATCGACTGAATACGTATAAATGCTAGAAGCCCCTACTCATGACGTGTCATTCATCTTTATTCTCTTATCACGGTCTTTTTTTTGAATTTTCTAACTAGGGTTTTAGGAACATTTATTTTTTTGGAAGCGTGTGTGATCAGTATTTATAAAAGTTGAGACTTTGTATATATATATTGTTATCAAATTTTGAGTACCTAATAAGTGTCCCATAATTGTTTTTTCTTCATGTTTTGAGTATTTTTTTTGTGCTGTAACTTTGTGGCATGTCACACGATTCACCGTTGACAGCTACGAGTGAGACTGAGTTGGACTGAATACAAGGTAACCTGGTAAAATGATTAATTTGTATATTTTCTGGTAGATAATAACTATAAGAACGATTACTTACATCGTGTTCTATAAAGTCATACAACCACTATTTCATGAGTTATGCTTAATGATATCTGTCGCAACCATTTATTTTTTCAGTTGGAATTCTTGTTGGTTAAGTGTAAGATTATTTATTGAGGTGTATCCCAAACATATGATTGATTATTTTCAGACTATGTAAACTAAGTACCCAAAACACAAATAAAATATATAAATTATGCATGTTTGTAGAGTTTATGGTGTGGATGAGGGTTGGGGGTAGGAGTTACCAGTGGGCGGGGTAACCTTTTAAAATATGTCTAGTGGTTGTTCATTTTTAGGGGTTCAAAGAAGACAGAAATGGAAAACTTAAAATAGCCATAGCCATAGCCGTTAGTATTTTGATTTTAGTTAATGGATCGACCTCTAGAAATTGCTTCATATGCAAGTCCAGCATTGTTGTGGCTATGACTGACATGGATTCTAATTTTTGGTGTATTTTCATTGATCATACTGCCCAGATTCCGCGAAATTTGTTCCAAGCACAAAGGCTCACACCTTTGTGAAACTTAGTTGTGCAACTACTTGGTGTCGAGACTCTTTACTTGAAAGTTAATAAATGCAAATGATATGTGCTAGTGGTAAACTCGGTCTCATATCGTTTTAAGTTTAAATTGTACTTGACGTGGCTGATGTCACAGGTTTGGATGTGTTAACGAGAACTACTTGTCATTCTCTGAACTTGTCGCTAGTTATTATGCAAAGTGTCCTATTATTATTGCATAATCTGATCTACATTGAAAGTCATATTGTGATCTGATGCAGTACCTTGACGAGAACAAGAAGCTAATATTGGCAATTTTGGATAATCAAAATCTTGGCAAACTTAATGAATGTGCACAGTAAGTGGTTCTCGCTCTCTATTTTTGTATACGTCATTGTATTTACTTTCCACATGTATATGTCTTTCCATGCTGCTTGGTCGCTTTAGTGGCGCTTGCTATTGGCCTTAGATGCTGACAACCAATTTTTACGTAATTAGTGTTAAGTGGTGAGGTGCCTGGTTCATATGTTGGAAGCTTAAATAGTTTTGAGTGAAGTAGATTGCCGAGGCTGTTCAATTTAGTTTACTAATGTTTCAATGCTTGGCCACGAAAATTATGTGATTACTGTATTTGTAAAGCATATTATTATATCAATATTATTCTTCTTCGTCAATTGAGTGCTGTAGTAAATGTTGCTACTTGCTATTTAATTTTTTCTTGTTATGATGTTTGAGGAGATAAGTGTTTGTCTTTCAACTGAGTTTAGGAATGGTGTGATCACTGGTGAGTGATTAATTTAGATCTCGTGCTCTATATCATAGTAACTACTATTTATTACACGAAGGGTAAGTACAGTTTGGACACCTTAGTGAATGTTTAAATCTCTGCCTTGTGCATTTCTCATTTCTGATGTTTTTGTCTGAACATACATTTGCTTTGTTTTGCAATGAATGTTTCCGGAAGGGCAATTATGGGGCACACACGATGAGAATGATATGCAAGTTTCAGTCCTCTTTCATTTTGGTTCGTGGGTCATAACATTGTGATTCTTAAGCCTTGTATCCCTCCGAAAGTGATGGCTAAAGAATTCATTAATATTTTGAAGATTTCTTCAGTTATTTTCTAACTTCCTGTCCATTCAATTTTTGACGATCAGGTACCAGGCTCAACTTCAAAAGAACTTGATGTATTTGGCTGCAATAGCTGATGCCCAGCCTCAAACCCCGGCAATGCCTACTCAGGTATAATTGTTTAGACACTGCGGCTCAAATTTATCGATGAAATTGCAGATTTTTTTTTTATTTTTTGAAATATACAGATGCCTCCTCACCCTGCAATGCACCAAGGAGGGTTTTACATGCAGCAGCCCCAGCAGCCCCAGCAGCCCGGTTTATTTCCTTCGAGGGCAACCTTCAATAGTCCGCACCCATTGCAAGATCCTCACTTGCAGCAACATCAAGCCCCGCCTCACCTGCAACCTCCCCAAGCTCAAATGTCTTTGAGGTCTGTGGGTCCTAACAGCGGCGTAAACCCCACTCTTAATGACACAAATCTTGGAGGGGTCAGCAGCAGTGGAGTTCCAACTTCGAATTCAGGCCTAAATGATGCGCGCGGAGGAAATAATAAAGATAAGCCGGATGGGAATTCAGATGCAGCAGGAAATACAGGTGGTGGAGATGGAGAACAAGCAAAATAATGGCCCAGCCGAAGAACCGGCTGGATTTCATGTAAGCGCTTGTTTATAGTTTCCTCCTCGTTTGTGTTAGTTTCTTTTGGTTTCTATGTTCGACTTGAGATGAAAGAATTAGCCCTCTTTGTTTTTCTTCTTTTTTTAATTTTTGTAAACTTGAAGTTGTAGCAGTACTGTGTTGAATGATGTTCTATCTTCTCCTTTAGATGCAAAATAGAGGACAAAGGTGCAGATTAGGGTAATGCCCCTTCGTATCTTAATATATATATATATATATATGATGGGACTTCGACAAGTTCTTTCGATCTTTCTTTCTTTTTGTTTTTAGGAATGTAATTCAGTATATATAATGCATGCAGTGGAATTTTTGTGTATGATTAAGATGACTTGATCATGATATGATCAAAGTGCTGTTTGGATCATCTTACCATGTTATCTCAAAATAGTTGGGTATTTTTTTTTAGATCTATTCTTTCACTTGGATAGTAATACGATGATGTTGTGAAATTGTGTATGTTGGAAAATTATATGATATCTAATTAGTGATATATTTTTTTGTAAGCTTAAAATTTTTGTTGGGATGATCATCTAACATTTTACACAATTTAAGAGGGTGAGCTACGGCTAGGGCTAGGGTGTACTGCCAACCTAATATGCTCTATTCATTTTCTAGATATATTTTAAAAAATAATATTTTATCCGTCCAAGCAAGAAGTATATATTTACTTTTGGTGGCAGGTAAAAGTAGTTAATGATATTTTTGCGCTTACTTTTTGATATAAATGTAATGATACGATGTAAAGTATTTGTGGAAAAATTGGACGGAGAAAGTAGTATTTTATTAGTTAGTGAAAGTGTCTGAGAGGTCTTGTAGTCTTAATTTTATGTATAAAATAATTGTATGTGTAATAATATATTTATAATTTAAGTAAAAGTTAAATCATATTTTAGTATTAATATATAATTATTTTTTTAAAAATAGAAAATAGATACTTTCGAGTAAGAGTTTACGAAAGACGAAAATGGTACTAGAAAAGTATGTTTTTAGTGTCTTCAATTTTACTTTCTATTTTCCAAAGCTAGAATATTAACGTTTAAGCAGGCTTGAACTATAAGATTCAGTATTAGAATTGTCTTTGTTTGATTATGGTTTGAAATTGAATTTAAATAGAGGATTTGATTTGAATTTTTATTTGATTATATTTTATTAAAAAAAAAATAATAGTAAAATTTTATTGAAAACACGGTGTAAATAAAGGTGACTTTAAATTGCGAATCATGTCTTGACCTGAGGTGTCGGTGGTTTGAACCATGACTTTACAGTCACAAATCCAATTCCACACTATTGTGTCGGACTTCTATTGTTTATTTTCTTAAAAAATTGATCTACATAATTTATTGAACCAAATGAAAAACTATTTTATCCTTATGTTTTTTTTATACGATGTTTTGGATGTAAATTTTAAATATTAATGTAATATAATTAAAAAATGGATGTTTGACTTAATGTTTTTAGAAAAATATTTTTGAAATAGTAAATCAACATCAAATTCTCAAGTATAAATAAATACAGTTTTAAAATTTACTCTTATTTTTATTTAAAATAATTTTATGAATTATATTTTTACAAGAAAACTTTTTTTTTTTTATAAATTTTTTTTGTCAACTTAAAGATTATAACAAAACAAATAAAAAATAAAAAATACTAAATGAGCATTAGATTCGGTGCAATCCAAATTGTTAAAATAATTACTACTAGAGTGCATTTGTTAGTGGAGATCAGTAGGTTACTATACAAAACAGGCGCGACTAAAACGGGTCAACTAACCTTGCAATTTATATTCCTAATAAATTATTAAAAACATATACTATTTAAAAATATATTCTTTATGTTATTAATAATTTATTTATTTTTTTATTTTGATCGGTCTCATAATAATAAAGTATTCATTTCATTTATGTTGATCGGTCTCATAATAATAAAATATTCATTTCATTCAATAACGGTACTATTTACCTAATATTACAATCACTCTTTTAATTTACAATATATTACATAAATTTCATTATCTTTACATGTGTTTAGTCTTTTTTTTTTATCTTTATTTATACTTATATGCCAATATAATACTAATATTTTCTAAAATTTCATAGAAAAGATAAATGAATAGATAGATATGAGATGGAGGGAGTATCTTTAATTAGTTAGACTTTGTTTGCACAACAAACTTTCATTGGCACTATTCATTTTCCAAACAACATCACATCAAATACAATTTTTTCTCTCACAAAACATCGAATTAAATACTAATCTTTTACTCTTTTTTTTTTTTTTTTTTTTTTTACTTTCAAAATTTCAAAAATCTACATAAACTTCAATCTAAACCAAGCCTAAACTCTTTTTCAATGCAATGAATTAATGCCATATAGCCTATATTAAAATTGAATAAATAGAAGTCACGTCAAAATTATTGGTCTAAAATAGGTAGACGTTAGCCACAATCACCGATTGACAACAAATTTATTAGTTTATATATAAAATAAATAAATAAATAAAATATTATTTTCAGACTTTTAATTACAGATGTTTTTTATTTTCTTTTTGGACATGGAAGGATATGTCAAAAACAGTGCAAGTCCATGTCAAATAATTGGTACTATTTAGACCAAAATAATACATTAATTAAGTACACATTACACATACTATTAGTTATGAAATATGCCATTTTCTTGATGACTCATAACGTAATCCATATGCTAACAGAATAATTTGAAGAATAAAAAAAATGTTCAAAATTTACATGGAAGAAGGGGATAATAAAATAATAAATGTTTTGTTGTCAATCAAATTAGGTCCGAGTTAAGAGTATTTATAATAATTATTCAATCAAATTAATTTATTTATTTGGTTTGACAAATGGTGAATTTTAATCTTCAAAGGTGATTATGAATTTTAAATTCATCCACTTTAATATCTCATGTACTCTTTAAATTATCCATTTCAAATATTTTTTTTATAGCCAAACGATGAATTTTAATTATGAAGTATTTTAATTTCATGTTTGTCTTCGACAAAGTATTTGAAATAATAATACAATATAAAAATAATATTTTAGGCATAAAGGGTGCTTTAATTACTCCTCCGTCCTCAATTGTGTGTTCAAACTTTTGAACATGTATTTTAACATAAATTACTATATATATATATATATATTTATATATAATTTTTGCTTTTTATAATAAATAAAATATACAAAAAATAGTATATTTTTTTACTACAAAGAGAACAAATAATAATTCTTATGACAACCAAAAGGAAAAAATAAATATATATTTGAATGATAAAAGAATATTGTATATTTTATTGTTACTTGTTTTAAACTTTTATTGATAATTATTCACGATATATCTATCTTTATTTATTTTATTATAAAGATGAAGCTTTAAAATCCTTTACGTTTTTAAAATTGAAGTAAAAAAAAAAATATAGAAAACAAATTAAACTCGTGAGATCTTGGTGATTATTACGGTAGAGACACAAAAAATGGATAAGTTGCCGATTCATTTGCAAAGTTTCTTCTAAAAATGGAATTGTTGCTCGATACACTATCCATGATTCTCCGGACCAACATATTGATTAAAAATGAAAAAAAATTGAACATTAATGAATATGATAAAGAAATATGATAAGTAATGTAAAGTTTTTTCGGTTCTTGTGGAATGAAGCGGTAAATACAATTACATATATATTGAATGGGGTACCAATCAAAGTTGTCTTAAAGACACTTTTTAAATTATTTGAAAATCGAGTTTGCGACATATACGTATTTCAGGATGTCTGTTTGAAATGAAAATTTATAAACTTCAAGAATTAAAAAAATAAAAAAATCCGATCCAAGAGCTATTAGTGGATATTTCATTATATATGTTGAAAAATCTAAATGATATAGGTTCTATTGCTCATCACATAGTGCTAGATTTGTGAAATTGAGAAATGTCAAAAAATTTCAAAAATGACTTGATTAGTACGAGTATCTTTTTTAAGATACCAATTCTGAAAATGATCACCATAAGACGCAACTCACTAGATCAAGTGATAGGTTGGTTTCCATTTACACTTTTCAAGTTCCAACGAGTGTTACACAATCAACTAATAAAGTTCCAAAAAGATGTTGGAAATGATCATGTAAATCAAGTTGTTAATAAAGAATATCGATATAATTTTGAGCAAGTTACTAATAAGTCGGCTGGACAACAATTTCTTCAGGATGATAATTAAACAACATTGAGAAGATCTACATAAGTCATAAGATTAGCAATTTCTATCGATTTTATAGTGTATCTGCAAGAATCTTATTACACTGTAGAAGTCGGAAATGATCCTAAAACATTTTCACTAGCCATGAATTTTAAAAAATCTAACTTATGGCGCAATGCTATGAAAAATTAGATAAATTCTATTGCATCAAATAGCCTAGATCTCGTCAAGTTTCCGGATGGTGTAAAAGCCATTAGATGTAGATGACTCTTCAAAACCAAAAGCAACACTTGTTTCTAAAGGATTCACTCAAAGAAAAAAGTCAATTACAGTGATATATTTTCTCCGATATCCAAAAAAGATTTCCTTCGTATGATCATGACATTAGTAAATCAATTTGACATTGTGTTGTATCAAATGGATATGAAAACTACCTTCCTAAATGATGACCTAGACGAAAAAGTTTACATAAAACAACTTGAAGGATTTACCTATAATGGTGAAGAAAAACCTAGTTTGTAAGCTTAAAAAATCGATATATAGATTAAAGAAAACCTACTGCCAATGGTACTTAAAATTTTAAGATATTATTACTTTATTTGGCTTTGGAAAAATATCACGGATCATTGTATTTACCAGAAAACTAGTGAGAGTCGTGTTTACTTTTTTGTGTTGTATGTGAATGATATTTTTCTTGTAACTAATGATAAAAGAATATTATATGAGGTTAAATTTCTTCCAAGAACTCTGATATGAAATATATGGAAAAGACATCTTATTTCATTAGCATTAAGATCTATAGATATAGAAACTGAGGCATGTTGAATTTGTCTCAAGAAGTCCATATCAACAAAGTTTTAGAAAGATTTAATATGAAATATTGTTTATTGAGTATGGCTCTTATTGTAAAGTATAACAGACTTGATTTGAGTCAATTCCCACAAAATGATTTTGAAAGGGAACATATGAAATTATTTCTTATGCTTCGGTAGTCGAAAGTCTTACGTATGTTCAAGTTTGCACCAAATTTGACATATCATATATTGTTGGAGTATTATAAAGATATCACAATAATCTAGATGTTGATAATTGGAAAGTTGTAAGGAAAGTAAGAGGTACCTTCAAAGCATAAAGGAATTCATGCTCATATATAGACAAAATGATGTCTTGGAAGTGATTGGTTATTCCAATTTGAACTACACTAGGTACGTTGACACTTTAAAATTCACATTAGGTTATGTGTTTATGCTGTCTGGTAGAGCTATCTCTTGGAGAGTACAAAGCAATCTATCTCTCTTACCTCCACTATTGATGTTGAGTTTATTTCGTATTTTGAGGCTTGCTCACATGGTGTATAATTGAAGAGTTTTATATCCGGATTTAGAGTCGTTGACCTTATTTTTAGGTTGATCAAGTTAAACTGTGACAACTCTGTTGCAGTATTTATGACAAAGAACAAAAAGAGTGGGATCAAAGTAAGGGTGTGTTTGTTCTGGAGTTTGGATTTTGAGTTAAGATTTTAATAGTAAAAGTTTTGAATTTGAATAGTTGTATGATGTCATATAAATAGGTGTTGATGTGATGTTTTGAATGTAAAATTGATTTTTAGTATAATATAAAAAATGAAAAATAGGTGTTTGATTTGATGTTTTTTTTGGAAAAAAAAGGGATGAATAGTTGAAATCTAATCCAATTCCCCAAACAAACAAATTATATCGACATCAAGCATTTAGCCATAAAGGAACGTATCAAAGAAAATAAGGTGGCATTGAATACATTAATATAGAGCTTATAATCGTTGATCTCTTGACTAAAGACATGCTACTGAAGAAATTCAGAGATTGTATGACGCATATGGGATATGGTTTCATGATGTAATTTATTTTGCGTACTTTTCTTATTGAAACTCTTATTCAGCTTGAAGTTTTATCATATAATTGTACACATACTTGTTTATTCTTGAGAAAATTCACTTAAGTTTAACCCGGAATAAATATAGAATTTATTCATTAAATTGTGGATTTCAATGAGCCACTCAATATATTATGATACATAGAAGATAATGTTCATTTGACAGAAGACCTACATCTATAATTCGTATGTAAAGTTTCTCATTATGATTATGATGGTTTGAGCGATCAAAGTGGGAAAGTGTTAGTTTGCCAATCAAATTATTTAAGAAAAATTACATCGACACACATACATATATTGTTTATATATTCCTCTAAAAAGCACATCTGTATTTGTATTTGTATTTGCATGTGTATTTGCAGTAGTTTCCTACATATGATCAAAATATCCTTTAAAACAACAAATTAAAGCAGCTGCAATGGAGGCAGACATACAAACAGCCTCAAAACAACAATCTAAGACAACTAATTATCAAGAATTTCAATGAAATTAAACCAAAAAGATGATTATATATGTATATATAGATCTCTTCTTATAGCAGAGGTGAAGATGAATTCATTGAAGCTACTATGGAGATGAACCAACACTTCAGAACAGTTCTACAGCCAGTTTAAGCTTCCCCTGTTTCCATTTCGGCAATGCATAGAATGCCCGTTTCGACATCCCGAATTTCTCCATGAATTCTTCCTTCGATAAGTAACTCTGCCCAAAACAAGAATTGTATCGAATGAGTGTGTGTTTATATTAGATTAGGTTATTTAGATTTGATCTATCGAGTTTTCCCAAAATATTTTAACAATTTGGAAGTTTAAAGAGGTAATGATCATTCCACAGCATACGTACCTCACGTTTGGTGATGTCGATGTCCGCAACAGGATCGGTCGAGGATGTCTTGAGGCGATCGTATGGATATATTGGCTGTCCTGAGTCATTGTCACCGCCTTCCTCCTCCTTCGCGCCTTCTTGTACGCTCTCGGATTTTGGTTTCAGGAACTCATTAGCTGCTTCGAATTAGTCTCTAAGATGTTATGATTCATCGTTGTAAATATAAGAGAAAAGGCGTAGCGTAAGTACCTTTGAGGGACCGGGGCATGAGGAAGCTCCGGGCCGGCATTTGTTGCTCGAAGCCGGAGGTAAGTGCTGCTATAGCTGCTGATCTTGAAGCTGTTGTCTTCATCATCGGGGTTGGACTTATGGATTTCGGGAAGGTTTTTCCAACCATTGGAGGAGGCGTCGACAAGTTCCTCGCATTTGGATTTTCAAAAGTCGAGGCTAGAGCATTGAATGCCGGAGAACGGCCTCTTACACGAGGCCTCTCCGAGGTGAAACATACACTTCTAGAGCGTTGTGCTTTTTCGGGATTGCTTGCTCTCCCCGGAGCTACTCTTCTTCGCGGTTTCTACAATGTGACCAAAGTGTAAATATATATTCGAATCGAATATATATTAAACTCACATACAAAGTGTTCAAGACATGTAAAGAAGAAAGTGAAGACAACGGGAGCTTACATCCAACATAGGAGTGCCTTTAATGAGAGAAAGCTTTCGCTCGAAAGAGTTGCCGTGCATCTGAAACATAGAAGTCGATAAGTGTATCTTGACGAAATCCGAGCAACCGGAAAAGATGTTTGCAAGGTGCTTACCGCGCATTTTTTTGGATCCCAAGTGAAGAATCGTGTAAAAAACTGTGGCTCGTTCCCTTCCGTGATGACATATATTGGAGTTTTTGTAGATAATTTTTCGAGGAGAAAATCGCGCTCGAGATATTTCTAGTACAAGAAATGGAGAGTTGAAATGCTCGTAAGAGTAATGAATCAATCATGAACGTAGAATGTAGGAAAAAAAATGCAACAACAGAACCATAAAAACATGTTTTGAGTTTGCTGTACCTCCCCAAACTGCAAAGATTTCGACTTGCTCTTCGCGTCGACTTCTTTCCCAACCCAAACGAAGATGTCCGAGTGGCAGTCGAGGATGAATACATCTTCTGTCAAAAGATCATCCTGATTGAAATTGTGTATCTCTGTAACCTGCACAAGAGACAAACATCGAAACCATGAGAAGTATGGGAAGGTTAGAAGGTAAGAGTTTCTCTATCGTTGTTAATCTAAAACTAATCGAGTATACTAAGAAAGACGAACCTTGAGATCTCCTGGAACAAGTGTACCCATGGCTCCATAGTCATGAATGAGAAAATAAAAAAGCTTCGGTTGATTTCAGTCGCGAAGTAAGAAATCAAAAATGGAAATAAGACTATAGTTTTGGCAACGAATATGGTGGGGTAAACGTACCATTGGAGATGGTGCACGCGAACAAGTGAGGATCGCCTTCTTTCTCTCTTGTAATTTTCTGGCTCGGATGCTCAGTTTTTCCTCCTAATAGCTCCCAAAATTGCTCGGTCTCAACGCCTTCTTTTAGATGTCTTGATTGCATGTTTGGCTGCAGACAGAGTACAATGATCGAAACTAATTTGTTACAATGCTAAAACTACTATGGTTTTTCACCTTTATAATATCTAAGTTTCTCTCGGCAAGCTCTTGGTTGTCAGGCGATGTAAGACTTCCTGACCAGTCGAAGACAGTTGCGCCGTCATGTAGGATGTAACAGTAGGCAGAGTTCAACGACGACGCCACCTTAATTAATGGCGAAGAACGACAAGAATGTGCATAAGAACAATCAAATATTTCAGTTAGCTGTAAAACAGAGAACACAAATGTAACATGAAACTTACAGGTTCGACTTGGATTGCTTGCATATTCTCCGGTCCACTTCCTTGAATTCGAAACAATGCTCGCCCATCTTCGGAGTATGTATCGTCAGGAAGTTCATTTTCAGCAATGTACTTCTTGTATCCATCGCTAAGTCCACCCTGATCACATTAAACATTACAGATGAAAATTCAATCAAGGGAGTAGGAAAAGAAACCATGTAATATGTTTGTGTATTTGTTCTCACAACCTTAAAAACAATGAAGCTCTGGAAAATGGCGAAGAGCATGACCGGTTCGCTTCCTTCGTGAATGCGCGCCTAAAACACACAAAAAATAATCGATTAATGTAAGAAGTGCGACAAAAGTTGCTCAAAGAATCAAAGTCACAATAAAGTTGTGAAGAAAGGAAATTTGCCTGAGCAGGTAACAGCTTGAGAGCCTCAATCATCTTGTTAGCCTGTGAAAGTGCTCCTGCTCTATCCTCCTATCGATCAAGATTTGATTGTAACTCGACCAATAGATTATGATATAACTATTGTAACTAAATACTAAGCCATTCAGAAACAATTTTTCGACAAGCTTGATAATGAAGTAAAGCAGAATAATGAGATTTCTTTCTTGTTATGACAATGTTGTCAATGCTAAAAGCAGTGAAAGATTATAAAAAATAATGAGATTTCACCTCAACACTTTGATTTCCGAACCACGTCCCTACAAGGTAGTCTTCCCTGTCTACGCCGGGATACGAATACTGAAAGATATAGCAATCTCCGCTGAAAACCTTCCCCTGATCATTAGCTGAAAGAAGGGTCTTTTCTCGACCATTCACGCGCCAAACCTAAGCAATGCATACGATAAAGCTATAAATCGAAAAACATATTTGATTATCAGACAACACATAGAAGTATTGAAGTGATGTATTGGATTTTTCAACCACATCTTTCCAATCACCTGCAAGTCACCAGCACAGTCTATGTGTGGATCGTCGTCTTCTTCTATCGGAGCTTCATCTTTAACAAGGCCCTTCACATCGACTCCTTGGCGCCTTAGCATTGCTGAAATGCATTAAGTTAAGGGAAGTTATAAAAAATTTAACAGACAAGGATTTAAAGTTAATGTTCAATAACATCTATTGCTAACCTGCAACTCTCCCTCGGCCTTCCTCAGGTGCAGCTGTATTCTTTGTTTCTGGCCAGGAGTCGAACTTTGAGCGAAACATGACTGTCTCATACCCCTCGATCACACGGATCACATGAGACTTAGTTCTGTCTAAACTTTGCAGCAGTTCCTATAAACAAACGAAAGTGAGATTAACTTGTCATCCATTGGAAAGTTAAGACTCATATGGTAAACCATATATATTTGCCGCTAAACGCACATCGACTGCACGGCTTGAAGCTTTTCTTTCCTCAAGTGAAGTGTTCTTCCCTATCCAAGCAAAGACTTCTATCCCAGAGTCAAGAATATAGCATTTGTTTGTGTCTAATAACTCCTTCGTCAAAGAATCGGCTTCAACAGGTTCTGCCTGCCCCTTTTCGATGCTTAAAACATAAAAAACAAAAGTGAGTTCCAATGAGTCGAAGCCTATATGTATCATCATCATAAATCACACAGCTTATTAGATGGATAGTTCAATAACAAAGCTATGAATAAGTCTTCACCCTTGTCTAAAGGATGTGCGTTGAAGACAAAGATTTCTGATAAAAAGAAGATAGATGAACAAACAAATTCTTTATTACTCGACTTCTCCAATTCATTTAAAAGATATGTCATTACTGAAATTCAATCTTGGATATGAGCTTGAGATGTATGCAGCTTAGGTACCCGATGAAGAAAGTTTATTAGAAGATGGTAATACCAGTAAAGCTTATTAGGAACACCACCATCAATGTTGTCTCTTTCGGCCGCGCTTGCTTTCTTTGGAAGTGGAGCGAAGCCACCAAAGAAAGCCCAGAATTCCCCAGCCTCGGCGTCCGCCATTAATCTTCCATCCTCTGAGAAAATAAGAAACTATTAGGCAAGAATCATCACAAGTCAATATTTAAAATGATCTGAGTCGCCGGGCACTTACCAACAGCGGCTACTTCGCATTTCCCATCATGATAAGTATCTTTAATGTACTGAACTACTTCCAGAGCTTTCGCCCTCTCTTGAATACAAGAGTTGGAGCCATTAAATTGATAAATTTTTGACTTTGTGTCGAGGATAAAGACATCGTCGTGGTTCAAAGAGGATCGAGCAAAGGCTATCTGCTCAATCATACAAAGCAATGTGAGAACATTAAGTAAATATAAGAAGGTGCCGCGCCATATTATAAAAATGAGCATTTAACTTGCCTCTTTCACATGAACTACATGCTTCCCTTGACACACAAATAACCGCGTTTGATGCTCTTCAGCCTCGGCATGCTTGAAGCCTGTGGCAACTCCACCTTCTTGAGGTATTATGCATGGTTTAAAATATGATAGAAACTTCTCCGATTCGTGACCTTGTACTTCACGGTACTGAACAGCTCGACCCCCTAGCATTGCATCTAATTCGACAGTCTTTATTGCAGCAGTACCTGCTTCATCCTGTAAAGGAAAGTAATATGTATAGGTATGGTAAAGAAAACATAAAATAAAATTCATATGAACAAGATTTAGCTACCTGACTAGTATCTTTGCCAAGCCAATAATGAATATCATGACGAAATGCACCACTCTTCAGGGCAGTGGTCTGCATCAAGAAATTAAGTTTACACACAAATTAATTTCTCCGACATTGTAATAAAAATTCGGAGAGTATTTCCTGGAGGTTTCTGGAGGGATCAAGCTTTTAGTTATTGCATGAGTACGATTTTGATGTAAAGAATTCGAAGAATACCACACAAAATGAATACAATGAAGATGTGAAAGAGTAAGAGAATGTACAAAAAAAGGATTCTATCATCTATAGATTCATTAACTAAAATTAAACAAAAATGGAAAGATGCAATTAAAATTTGTAGATTTATGATGGCTTGTGCATCTTAATGAATGGAGGCACACTATGCGCTTCGTTTAGGGTGCTGATTGAGCTAACTAGCACATGAAAAATACTAAATATATAAAAATATAACAGACATCACATATTGTATAAAGTATTAGGTCTATTTTCTCTGTGTTGTAAATTTATATATAATACGGTGCTGATTAAATCCATAACCGACGGCCACAATATGATATTTAAAATCTAGAAAAACTTGAAAGTTACCTTTAGAACAATATAAGAATCTCCGGTGAAAAATTTTCCATGTGAAGATTCTGGGATAGGGACAGGATTGAAATTTTCGATTCGCCATATCTCAAGGCCACTTTGATAAGTCAAGGAGACAAATATATGCAGATTTATGGTAAGTAAAACATAGACACAAGTATTAGTCTGTAAACTCAAAAGGTTATTGCATCAAATCTTATACATCTATTCTAAAAAAAGCAAATTAGTTTGCATAAAGAATGAGCAAAATCTGACATGTTAAAATCAGGATACGCCTTCTGTCCAACCCCTTGGAAAGCTGGATCGAGATCTTTCTTTGAAATTGACATGATTTCTGGCCAACTTCTTTGGAATAGGCTACTTCAAAGATTGGCCTGAAACAAAACATAATTAAAATTATGGGGTTTTATATGAATAAGGTTAAGTTGAATGCAAACACAAAGGAAAAAAGAAAGAGAAACAACATGCTAAACTTATCAAGATAGTGATTAAAATTGCTTCATATAATGCTAAGTGATGTCACCAAAACAAAGATGTCGAATAGTGAATTTTTTACTCTATGGGAGAATAACCACAAGATAAAAATAAAAATGATAAGAGAAATATTCAAACATGTCTTACAGGGTATTTGTGTTTTTATGTTGTATTCGTATCGAATTGAGTTGGGGAAACGGTTTAACTCATTGATTAGCCAAGGTGGATAGCATGCTGAATTTCTTAATTCAATATTGTTGAAATTAATCACCACCCTTAATAATTTAAATAACTAAATTATTCTTATTTAATTAAAATTAGTCAATTGCTAGGATTAGAATCAACATATGCTGAAATTATTTAACAAATCAACACATAATACAAACATTGGTCAGTAGATCCGCTAGGTTATCCTTCAATACAACATGGTCAATGACAATAATTTTACCTGTGATCAATTGTCTTACGAAATTGTATCTACAAGGAATGTTTCGACTATGCTATTATACATCGTGCTCTATGCTCTAGGTAATGGCAGAGACGGATTTATCTCATTTTAGAATGTCCTCAAGAGAGTTACAAATCTATCTGTGTCTCTTCTCCAGCTTTATTCAAAATAATGAGGATTTTCAAGAGATTGTTGCACCACCTAATGTGAACACATGTCCATTAATTGATCTTGTATTAAGTTGATCATATATCCAATTTGTGTCTAAGTAACCTTTTACTATAGTGTAACTCATAATCTCGAGTATACTCTAAGTATCTAAGTACGTGAATAATGACTTTCCAATGTTTACAATTTGAATTATTTATATACATACTCAACTTACTTATAGCATAAGTTATCTCAGGTCTTGTACAAAATCCTACAAAATTTGTAGCCAACCCCACTTTGAATTTACATTTGCAATTAGTTGCAATCGGTTCTCATTATTTTATAATTTAAATTTAATCGGTCAAACATTATAAAATTAAAATAATTTAAATATAACATTAGAATTTTTTAGTTGGGCTCGGCCCTCGTAACCCACAAACTCTCACGGTCCAAGGCCCATCTATGATATTTAACACTCCTTCCGTCTAACCCTAATATTTACATTTATTTCTTGCATTTGGATTAAACAATATTAGTATTCTAAAAATAGTGAATAAATATAATACTGTAAGATCAAATTGTTCTTACTTTTATATATAAAGGTATAATAAAGTGATGGTAAAATGATAAATAAGCTTGTGGAAAGTCTACGACTACTAAAAAAATTATATAAACTTTTAAATTGGACGAATAAAAATAGAAATATGTAAACGTTAGAAGTGGACGGAGATAGTATAATTCAAGCACAAGAAATCCCAAGCTCCAATCCAATTTTGTATAGAATAAAATCTTTTTGTGATTTCAATCTTCTTGTTCCACTTTACATATCCAACAATTACATCCAACATTATTTCAAATGAAAATGGTAACTTCACTTGTCCTCAAATTATTATCTTTTAACCATAAGATCAAGCCAATCAAGGGGCACACAATATAACATTTCACAACATGAAATTAAGCTTCTAGTCCAATTGGATATTGCTATATATCTGACAATAAAATCTACTCAAGATAGACATAGTTGTCTATACTATCCAGAATATTATATTTCACTTCAAAATTATAAAAACACAAAATACAAATGAAAAAAGCATAGGTAAAGACAGTAGAACTGGATTTCTGTTATGTACATTACCCAATATATGAAGACGATGGATAGCTAGCTAGCTGCCTTGAAGCCACTTGATTATCGATCAAGTGATGATATATAATCACTCAGCTAAGATCTTCTGTCCAAACAATAACCTGCCAAGATCCATACTTATATTTCAATTCGACTAAAAAAATGGATATATACATATTCAGGTGAAGGAAAAGATCGAGGGAAGAAATGAAGGGAAAGCCCGAATGTTACAAAAGTACAATAAAAAGAAAAAACAGATTTCAATCATTCACATCCAAATCAACAAAGCCGAAAGTGATTGGAAGATAAACAAGTCGCAATGAGGTTATTCAGGGCATAGATCAGAATATATGAATTTGGAGAATATATTGTCGAGAAGTTGTTTGTAATGGTGAAGGATGGAGCTGAGAAGAAGGCCATTATGATTCATGCATGGCGAAAATTAGGATAGAATTAATCCGGCGTCGATGTAATTAAGATGATTCGAGAAATGATGGATCTGCCTCTTCCTTCCCCTACCTTCCCATGAAACATCATCATTGTCGTCATCATCATCATCAGAAAAAACATGTCCAATCCGATAATGAGCCCCAAAATTGGCTCAAAGAAGAACACAGACATTGATGGAACTTTCAGAACTCACCGAAAATTAATATAGATTCCAATTCAAAATAGAAAAGGATAAGAAGAAACGTTCAAGCTGGATTAAAAATTCATGAGCGATCACTCGATCGAAGCATCATCGCACCTGGCAAATTTAATTTGGTTGGGACGATCCAAGGGGAAAGCCATTACAGAATGATGCAGATCGATGCATGATGGAATTCCATATCCAGTCATTATTTTCTAATACGTAATTTCTTGCACTTTGTTCCTAATAATACATGCATTTGCCTATGCACAATGCCTGCTTGCTTGTTTGTTTGTAGATCTGGTCTCACATTATTATTATTATTATTATTATTATTATTATTATTAGTTTTTTTTTTTTTTTCAATGGTACATCGAATATATATATATTATATTTTTTATCTATTAATTAAATATAATGTGTGTTTGATGTAAGTAGTTAAGAAAAATCAATATTTCCTATTTGGCATATGATACAAATTTTTTGGACTATGTTACTCCTTTGTATTAGAGCCGAACAATTTATTAGAATCCATCTTCTATTTTGGTGTGCCCTAATTTTAGTCTAGCTACATTTTGCTACGAGTATAAGGAAATTTATATACAATATGAGATAGAGAAGAATTCAATTTTTGACAAGAAGAATGAGTTTTTATCGAAACTAGATAAAATAACAAGTGCGCGGATATAAGAAATATGCACAAACACTACAAGAAAAAAAATCATTTTTGTAGCAAAACATTTTTGTTTTTAAATCTACTTTTTCCGTTACTAATGACATTAGAGACGGAACTAAGAATGAAATTACATTAGCTACGTGAACTTTAGGGACGGAATTTCGTTACAAATATATTATTTTTTTTTTGTAGTGGAATTATATTTTGTCCAACTTTTTACAAGATGCCAAGAACTTAAAAATATGGATATAAGAGGCGTCATTTTATTTAAAATGAAAGTATGTTATGGTTCAATTTTAATTTCAAGATTGATTTCAAACTATACAATAAAAAAAAAATAGTATATTTGTAACGGAATTCAATTCCTAAACTTTACAAAGCTAACATAATTTCATCTTTAATTATGTCGCAAATGTCACTAATAACAGATAAGTGAATTTAGGAACGAAAAAACCTCGTTATAAAAATGATATTTTCTTGCAGTAATAGAAGTATGATTTTGTATGGAGGAATGCTGTCTTTACACTTTTAAATTTAAGTTCAAATTCAAAATTTAATGGACATAGTCCTTCACCAATGGACAACTTTTCAAAAATTGGTAAGATCTTTTAGATATGGATACATCTGTCTATACTTCTTTCTTTTTCTTTTTCTTTTTCTTTTTTTTAATCGGAATACATTTGTCTATATATACTTCAGTAGTAACATATTCAGATCACACGCTGAATTTAGTAATTGAGCATTCCTGAATATTATCACCACCGTTGATTTAAATAAAATATTAAAATGGACTAAACTTATTTCATCAAAGGTTAAAAATAAATCATATATGCTTCGCAAGGAATAACGGTGATAGTAGCTAGCTTCACCAAGCAAACACTCTATCTACGGCGACCCTTATTTTGCTCAATTTAATTTTCCTCGACTACAAGTTAAACTTATTTACACTAAAATTACCAAAAAATAAAAAATAAAAATGGCATCAAATATTTATTTATCGTCTTAGAAACATTAATTAGAAATATATATATTTTTCATGATGTATTGTGAAGTTCAAGTTGGAGCCAAGAATGTACCGTGAGTTCGTTTGTTGCTACTTAGTCCTATGGGTTTTGCTGCCCGGTAGGGGTTCGGCGTACAAGCTAGTTACATGGTCTATATTGACTGTTGAACCTATTTTTAGGGTCCAACATTTTAAGGTATTACTTATCTGTATATACTAATTAACATCTTGAAATTACTAGTATAAATATCTGATTTGGCAGCCCTAAACTTAGATCATTCTGATTAAATTGAATCTACAAATTTTTTATGTTCTTATACGTTTTTCTTGATTTTCTCTTACTTCTCGTAAGGGATGGCCTGTTTAAACTCCCACTTTTCAGGTCACATATCACGCATGGTTAGCTTGGTGTTTTGCACGATATTAGATTCTGCCGGTTCCCACATCACTAAAAAAAAAACATGTATGATGGGGTTAGTTCCTCTGTATTTTCAAACATATGTTTTTAATTATTCAATTTTCTTTCTTAAAAAGTATTAAACTAAAAAATATATATATATATAAAATTAAAAAAACACAAAATAGAAAAATAGTATTCAATTAAACTTTTCATGATATAAATTGATCTATACCATTAACTTTTTCAATGTAAAATAATTTATTTGATATAATAATTTAAATTGCAAAATAAATATTCAATAATAATAATAATAATAATGTGACCAGATCTACAAAGAAATTAAACAAGCAAAGCAAACAGGTAATGTGCATAGGCAGGCAAATATGTATGCATTATTACAAACAAATAAAGTGCAAATAAAAAT